GTTCCCTTTCCTTCCTAATTCAATTTTCTCATTTATTTTATTTCATTTATTTTATTCACAAACATTTCACTAAATTACACTAACTATTTTATCCCTCATTTTAATCATACGTTGTTTCCAGTTTTCTAAAGTTATTTCTATTACTAATATAACAATACAATCTTATGTACCTTTACAGAATCCCTTTTTCAGTTAGATTTTCACCCATTATCTCTAAATAGGTCCTGTTTCGCTATATCTTGCTCCGGTCCTTTGTAACTTCTTTTCCTTTCCTTCTTCCCTCTCTTCTTCTCTCTCCCCTTTTTACCCCCTTGTCTCTCTACCTCTATTTCTCTCTTCTGTATTCCCCTTTTCTGTTGCTTTCCAGTATTATACTTACTTTTTGAATTATTTTTCTTTTCTTTGGTTGTTTTTTAAGTCTTAAATTCTCCATTCTCTTCCCTCCCCTTTCCTTTTTCTTCCCCACATAGAATTACTTGTTCATTAAAGATGGCTTCTTCTTTTTCCCAGTCTTGTTTTGCAGTCTTTTCTTGTTGTTTCTCATAGTTCCAAATCTCCATTTCTATGAATTGAAAAACGAAGCCAAAAGAACCCTTCCCTTCTTGTGCATCTTCTTTGTACTTTTTAAGTTCCATTTTCAATTCATCCAGAAGTGGTGCCATTGTATAAATTTTTAAACAACCACCTGATTGGTTTTAGTCATTCAAATATAATAACCAAAAATCCAAAAATCACCAAATAATCCAAATGCACGCAAGCTGTTTCTTTTTTGCTCTTTTTTTTCACTTTCTCTTCCTGGGGTTACTATTTAGTTGCAGAGTTTCAGTTAAAACGTATCTTTTAGAAGTCTTGTTGAAGTTTTACTTTAGATTCTTTTTAATTCTAGGCAGTCTCCTTCCTCTTCCAGATCCTGCCCTTATTCTTTTTCTCTCCCTTCCTGCTTATGAAAAAGAAAGTTTTTAGTGTCCAGAAATCTTTGGCATTTTGTTTTATTTTCAGCTTAATTGCCTATTGATGTCAAAGCGGATTTTTCTGATTTCTTATTTAAGTCTCTTAGTTGTCAGTATAGGGAAGGAGAGAGAAGAGAAAAAAAAGCCAAACCTTTCCCTTTTCACTTTCCTTCGCTGCTTCCGACTCTTCTTTGGGAGCAATGTTATTTTTTGTAAGTTTAAATTCCAGGGTACCTTGGTTGTTGCTTTTACAATTTAACCCTGTCAGCCAAAACTTTCACTTCTTATCTTACTCCTGCACGTTCTTCTCCGGTCGAGTTCTTCTTTGTGGTGGCCATTTCTGACCACTGCTGCTACCGCCTTCAGGAAAGGGAGGAATGGCCAGCTGAGGAGGAGAGATGCAGCTCTCCTCGACCCTGCTGGCGGTCTCCCCCCTCTTCACCACCTCTACGGGGTGGCTTAGCCCCGAAACCAGCCATCTCAGGGCACGCCAGCAGCGAGCCCAGACAGAAACCGTGCACGATCGCGGATTTCTGTCTGTCGCCAAATCCCTTCAAACCGGAAGTCCTGAATTGATTTTCTAAACACAACTTCTTCTGCTAATGAAGTCTGGGTTTCATATTAACTTGGCCAGCTTCTTCAATAAAAATTCTCTGTTTATAGAATCACGTACCCCATTAAGATCTATGAAAGATGTGAACAGGTGTTTACCATCTGTTGTATATTTAGTAATAAGTGGTGTAGAACAAAGCAGTTGCCTTTTATGGAACCCAGATCTAAACCTAGCCTGTTCTTCCACTAATATCTTCTTCTATTGAAAAATAATCCACACTAATCAAGTGCTTTATTACCAACGTTCCATAAGAAGAGCTATGTCAGAACATTATTACGAGAAGTATAAATATACAGCAGCAGCCCGGAACACCAGAAAAATGAAACAGATAGCCTATACAACATCTTCCAAAAAAATCGGCACCCATGCAATTTTATCACAACGTTCTTGACCACTCAATTCACTACAGCATAACATAAGCTATGGAAAGTTACCACATATCAAAAACATTTTAGAAACAATCAATAGACTATTATAACCACATAGCATCATCATAGCATGCAAACCAACTAAAGCCCTCCAAAACATTTTAATAAACCGAAAGACCTAGTAGCCCAAGAAGAAAAAATAGGAGTCATCTACAACATATATTGTAGTGTAAGAACTATAACAGCCACTAGGTAGGATAGGCAGAAGACTAGCTGTAATGGAATGTGTGGATAACCTTGGGGAAAGAATTGCTATTAGGAAACAATCAGACAGGAGAGGCAAGAACCCCTGTGGTTTAATGGTCAGAGAAAGATATTTAGGAAGGGCCCACCCTAAGGGATTGAACAGTTAAAAGTGATGATGGGGAGTTTGTATTTTCATACTTGCAAGATTCTGTTCATAAAGTAGAATTACAATACAGTAGATTTCGTTCGTGTGGTCATGTTTCCTGTTTGGTTTAATTGGGAGGATTGATACTACAGAGTGCAACCCATCAACCAATAGAAGACATAATGAAAACTCCTTAAGCTCTTAACACATGGACAGACTTAACTATACTTTCATTTGGAAAACTCTGAGCATCCTAAGCCAAGTTAAATCTTAAAGTACTAGTGAATTACTGAGAGCTTGGCATTCAGTTGTATCAGCCCATCAGTGGACACATAGAGATAAAGTACAGTTATATACCATTCAAAAGAAGCAATAAAAGACTAAGAAGAAAAGAGACCAGAATGCCTTCTCTCCAGTAGTCAATTCTCAGATAGGCAAGGATGAAACCACACCCCATACCCCCGTCAACATTAGCAGGGCACGTTACTGTATGAGAAAAGGGAGCAAACCCCATATTCACTACAAGTGAAGATAGTCACCCAGGACTCTATCATTCAACCCTGAACTATATATACATTTTCTTCTATTGCAGTCTTCTTAAACCACCCAACCCTCTATTTCTCTTGCGTGTATCTTAACTGTTTTATCAATAAGGGTTATAGGTTTGTAATTTTTAGGGTTTTCCTTGTCTCATTTTTTTTTTTTTTTTTTGCACATAGGATTTATGATAGAGAGTTTCCCTCCTACTAGATATTGGCTATGTAAGTAAACGGCCCTTCCAGCAATGGAGCTCACCACTCAATGTGTGTCCTGAAAAGTACTTGAAGTAGGAAGTCTTTGATGGCTTTATTGGGTTTCAGTGACTGAATAATATGTTTTAATTTCTGTCATTGACACTGGTGGCCTAAAAACCCTCCTAAACTGAAGTTAAAATGGGGGTATTAAGTAAAAGCTTACATTTTTTTCAGCATGCCAGATCTGATCCTTCAAAATAAGACTAAATTGGAAACTTATGCTGACTTTTCTAGCTCAGACCAAATGTAGCTATAGGTTGGGTCTTCTTGATGGGTATTAGTTTCTTGTAATTATGTCTAAGCTCTAGCTTCTTGGCATAATTGTTTGATGTGGTATTTCTTTGAACCAAATGGATGGCTGTTTTTTGGTTCTTTTTTGAGCTAAAGCAGTTAAGGTCCAACTGGCACTTTCTATAAAAAAATTCCTTAATGGGTGCTTCAGATTGGCATATTGGGTAAAAATTTCATTTGGCTCCAGAGTAGATATGACAACCATTTTTGCCCAGGACTGGGCCTTCTCAGTGAGCAACCAACATATATTTATGGTGGTTGCAATGTCCCAGGGTCATGAGTTTACCATTTGTGACCTTCCCAGGTGGTGTGTGATAAGCAAAGTCATTGAGGGAAAGCTGGATTTTCTTAACAACTATGTAATTCGCTTAACCAAGAAAAAAGGTTATACAATTTGGTATGATTCAGTTAAGGCCTGGATTGCTTAGTGACAGAAGTTCTGGTCCCAGTTGTGATTGTAAGTCAAGGACTGCTATATCTGAATATTTCAAAGTATCTTTGATTTTACACTTTTCACTAATTCTGGATGGTATGATGGTATCTCTTGGATAGAGTAAGTAAAATGCTCTATCTCAGATATTCACATTCTACCCAGCGTATCAGAAAAATAACTGGAAGTTGAATTCGGCTTCATCATAATCTTTGGTTTTTAATGATAAGGGCTCTGAATTGTTTCCATACAGTTAAGGCACGGTGGACACCTTGCAAATGTTCTAGTGACCTTTATTACCTGCACAACAGTAAAGGCTCATTATTTTTTTCTATTTCAGATTCTGGAAAAGTAATCGTGTATTTTAATATTAGGTGTATTACACATTCTTCACATATACTAATGAAATGTAATGACATTGAGTGGTGTCAGGAAGACAGCAAGTACCACAATATAGACACATCAGACTTGTTTTGCCACATAAAATACAGAACAGTTGAAGTGGTAGTAATACTATACACAAGTTACGAATTGTAACTCTGAAACTGTATGGGAATGTACGTAGTAAAATGTTCATGTGATCATAACCAGAAAGTATTTTTCCAGTTTTATTTTGCTAACTGCATTTGTATTAGTAATTATAGTACCTTAAATTTAATTTACATTTACATTTAATTTCTGAATTTTTAAAATACTTTTTAGCTGATGAGGTTTTTTCCACACACACACAGTTTCTGATAAAAACTGATGCTTACGAAAAGGTCATTAAATTCCTTCTTTGCAAGTCCACTTCCATACTGCTCTCCAAGAACTGTGGATTACAAAGCTGTTGTAAAACTTAACATATAAAGATATCTATCTTACCTAATACACTTCATTTCGCAACATGACAAATTAAAAGGAAGCAACAATAGCTAGTCCCAATGAATTAATTGCCTATTGTTCTGTATGCTGAAAAACAAAGCCATCATTTGAAGTACTAAGTTCCTCATTCTTGATTGATTAACATGCAACAGATTGAATGCACTGAACTTTCCATGTAGGCTGTAATTACAAGTTCGTTTCTGAGTTATAGTATGCTTAAGATGATCGAAGCTGACAGCTTCCACATAGAGATAAGACGGTCCTAACACTTTCATAACATTTTCCTATCTTCTCATTAGGATGGCTCATACTTGGCAGAGTTCCTGCTGGAAAAGGGTTATGAGGTGAGTGAAAGTCTTGCTGACTGACTGCAGACTCATGGAATAATTTGGACAGAGCTTCCTTGTTGCTGTCACTCTCTGGTTATGTTTTCCATTCAGCATGAGATAAGAAATCAAAATGTTTGAAAAGAATGCACAACATGAGCTGTAATCATGCCAGTGCATTGTACTGTTTATCATGGAGACTGCAATGGTGGAATCCCTCCGATCCTCAGGGTATAGCTGTTTTTCCACATTTCCTGCTTATTCAGATAAACAGCGGTCTGTGCAAAGCAATGCTACATTAAATGCATGTGTTACGATGCAGGAGGAAAAAGTTAACTTACCATTTTGAGAAGGTATTTTGAAGAGGTAGGAGATGGGGACCTTGAAAAAATAAATTGAACTGTGTTTCAGCAATTACGAAATGTTAGAATTTTGGTTCCATAATGCTCTACCACAGAATAAAAAGCTGAAAAGCTCATTAATGAATTTGATCCCTTTCCATTTAGCTGTCATAACAGCATAACATGCGCAATATAACAATTCCCTTGTTCTTTAAAATGTTTCTGTCATCGTGGCCAATACAAATAGTTCCATCTTCTGTGTTACTTCTAACACTATTCAGTATATTTCATAATAGTAAAGTGTCACTGCTACCATGTCTTTTTAACATAAGCAAAAGGAAGAACAAGAGAGTAACCGCCACTGCCTTTGGTTTTTCTTTTTTTCTTTCTATTCCATCTTACAAACCTGGGGTTTCTTTATGGCCTGTCATCCAGGTCCAGGTCTAATCCCGCTTAGTGCTGAGTTTGGGCAGGGTTGGCTAGATGTAAATTAAACATTGTTACTGGTTATATATCTAGGTGGCAAAAATAATATCAATCTGAACCTATGAAGAGATTAAATACAAATAACAAATTTAGTACATATTTATAATTATATACAAGTTCCAAGTCTGGAGATGTTTGTCAGAAATGTCTGATTGTTAAACAAGAGAAAGAGCATGGAGAAAGTGGGTGCCATTGTTTTCATGCAGCTGTTTCCATTAAGTAGCTTTTGCACAGCCATTTGTGAGCTCAGCTTTCAAGAGAAACCGTTGGACAGTAGTGTTGTGTCATGGAATCATTCAATCTCCTGGATCTTTATGGCCCTTCCTTGTTTTTCTATTTGAGTCAGTCACTTCTGTATCATGAAACTGATATCACAATATCTGACACTGTGAAGCTTTATATCAAAAATATTTTCTGTACTTCTGTTAAATTGCAGGTACATGGAATTGTTCGTAGGTCTAGCTCTTTTAACACAGGACGGATTGAACATCTCTACAAAAACCCGCAGGCTCACATAGAAGGAAGTAAGTGCGTGTCGAAAGGTGAGATGGAATACACAGAGGACATATGGGATTTTGTTTTTATTGCTAATGTTTGTGTATGATTTCATCAGACAGGAAATTGATCACTGAGACTAATTATGTGAATGTCATTTTTTAGTCTAGCCTCTATCCTTTTTTTAGCATTTGAAAAATACTTTATAAAATAATTTTGTTAATTTCAACTCGAACAGAATATGAAATTTTGATTCACTAATAATCCCTAGAAAAAGCAAAGTAAGAAGACTTTTTAGGATAGCAACATAGGTTTGTTAATATATTGCAAATCATTTTCTTGACTAATTAGAACTAGTTCCCAATTCTTTTCTTGTCACATAAATTGCAATTTCTATCAAGTCCCTTTATGCATATCCACATGAAATCAATATAAAAATGTTAGCAGTAAAATGAATTTGGTGATCAGATATAAAAATGTGAAGGCAGCTTGCTAACTAATCTTGTTACATTTCTAATGAATTAATATATTGGTGACTGTTATTTTTCAAGGTTCTGTTCCAACACAATTTAACAATTAAACCAGAATCATGGATAATAAATCTGCAAAAAAAAAAGTTTATGAGAATTGGGACAAGGTCCCAGAGCCTAATGGTCATCCAGTCCCTTCATCATCTTCTCATAGATGTTGTCTAAGCAATGTTTCTATATTTGTTCCTCTTCCTCTCCTCATTCAACTGTTGGCAGATTTCATTAAATCAGTCTAATATGAGAGTTCATGTGGCTTCCCTGTGCAGCCTCTTCAGTGCAACTTATTTGATGGAAGATGGAAATATTTCTCTTGTATAATTGCTTGTGCTGAGTGCTATCCTTTATTTGGCTCTCCCTGTAGCAAGAGGATGCAGCAGTTGACTGAGAGGACCATTCATTAAGATGGCACAAAAGAGCCATGTAGGTAGACAACCAAGAGTGAGGAAGGGCGCATGAGTAACTTTTTCCATCATCAGCCAAGTGTCCTTGAAGAAACTTAGTGTGAGCTGGTGAACGAGAAAGGTGGAGCAGATACAGGCAGATTGAAGTGACAACTGGAAAAAATATTGTGTAGGCATACTGAAAGCCTGCCATTTGTACATATATAAAATCAAGGCCCAATCATAACATCTGAAAACTTTTACACTTTTTAGTTCCCTTCTTTATTTATCAATCATGAATATGTAAAATTGCTTGACTATTAGACTGCAGGCAATGAGGCCCATGTAATAATAGTATAACCATAATAATGATATAATCATATTTACAACTTACCAGACTTTACCCATGTATTTATTCTACATTAGTACAGGTAGTCCTTGACTTACAACCACAATTGAGCCCCAAATTTCTGTTGTTAAAGGAGTCATTTCTTAATTGAATTTTGCCCCATTTTATGACACTTCTTGCACAGTTGTGAAATGAATCACTGCAGTGGATAAGTTAGTAATATGATTGTTAAGTTAATTTGGCTTCTCCATTGATTTTGCTTGTCAAAAGTTTGCAAAAGGGGATCACATGACCCCGGGATGCTGCAACGGTCATAAGTATGAACCAGTAGCCAAGCATCTGAATTTTGATCATGTGACCATGGGGATGCTGCAAAGGTGGTAACTGAAAAACAGTCATAGGTCACTTTTTCAATGCCATTGTAACTTTGAATGGTCACTAAATGAACTGTTGTAAGTTGAGGTCTACCTGTAATTCAGTCGACCAGTTACAGAGCAGGAAAAATATTAAAAAAATATATTTTGTATATTGTGACTTGTAACATAAATAGTTTTAGAAAATCTGAACTAGGACAATCTGTTGTAAATAAATAGGACTTTAAATGTTTTCAGTTGACCTTTTCTATTATAGAAGTCATTTTATTTTATTTTTTAAAAAATCATGTTTTTAATATTTTTATCGGAAAGCCAGTTGGTACCAAATCTAATAGCTCATGTAATTTAATTAATGCAAATTAAATTTCAGAATTCCTCAGTGACTCACATTTCAAAGAAAATAATGTCTGACTTAATAAAATATGAAGATTGGAGTGTAATATATTATTAGAAAGCTGTGATCTGCATTTAATTATAGTTATAATAAAATATATGTCCATCTGACTTTTCAAGGAGTTAGGAAAGTATAAATAGAAATGAATACAACACATGGCAATTTTATATGAATTTTAACTTCTTTTTTTTTTTAACCTGAAGATATGAAACTGCATTATGGTGATTTGACAGATAGTACTTGCTTGGTGAAAATAATCAATGAAGTTAAGCCCTCTGAAATTTACAACCTTGGAGCACAGAGTCATGTTAAAGTAAGTAATATTAATAAATCTCTTACAAAATAAATATGTGATTATCTGTAAGCAAAAAGTATAGTATATTTTGTTGCTACTTATTTTGTTAGATCCCTTTTTTTTACATAACTCTATGAACAAAATTCTGAGAATATAAAAATACAAAAGAAACCTAAATAATGGTTTAGATAAACAAAGGTATACCAAAGGGTGTTGGTGTGCACATACATATATTTGCATATATATAGGGAGAAGAAGCATGATTTGTAAGTATAAACAATTAAATAAATACATAATTTTTAACTGATGTTGGGTTGGATTTTGATTGGCATTGGGATAGTTTTTGAATTACGTAGAACAGCCTTTTGCACTTTTTACAATTATTTTTGTTTCAGCAGTTCTCTTGGTGTTCAAACACTTTTCTTGCAACTTTTCTTATTATTTAAATACAGGCATAACCTTTAAATATCCATGAACATTATTTCTATAAAATACATCGATATAAACAATGAAGAATTTCATATTCAGTATCTACAAATTGAGATAGATAGTTTTTTTTCCTCAAGTTTTTTAAAATTTCAATCTACACATACACAACAATACATTCACAGTGTGGCATCAATTTATCATACATTTTAGTATGAGCAAGCTTAATAATACCAATCATATCTTTTAATACACATATTCACATTAAATCAAAATCCTTCCTTGCTTATTTTCAACGTTTCAATAGTCTCTCCTAGTGTCAACCACCATATCAGTTAGACATACCTTGTAATTTCATTATTCAATTTCCTCCTCATTTTTTTAAATAAAAAATTCTCATTTGGCAAGCAGTATGGTTCCAGGTTTCACATCTCAATACAAACATGACCATATTTACCTATTCATTTTGTTTGTTCAATTTCATATCACATTAACCTTATTAGTATTAAATATTAAACTTATCCAATTCCAATTCATATTATAACTTGTTTCATTTTTCTTAGAATATTCTTATATCTTATTTTACAATGTAATTTGAAATTCTCTTCTCATTTCTATGTTCATTTCCCATATTACCTTTTTCTGTCATATTTGCAATTTTATCAATCCTTATTTTATTAATTCAAAATTGTCCCCTCTGGTTATTAATTCAAGCCAGCTACCTTCAATCTACCTTAATACCATCTCCCTATTTACTATAACACACACACACACACACGTCAGATTCTGCATTATATTTTCTCAATCACCTTATAATTTATCTATACATTACAAAAATATTAATCTAATCAATTAATTATAGCAACTGATATTAATCTTCCCATAATGGTTCTCATTTCATCATCTTCCCCCCTTTTCTTATACATCATTAATCATCAATTAATATATGATATTTTTATTATAAATTCCCAATTCCATATTTATTCCATTAAATTCCATGTCTAGCATAGCAATACTTCTTTAATAACAGAAAAGAGAGAGAAAAAAGAAAGAAAGAAACTAAGAAGAAAAAATCACATCTTTTGATACTTATTCATATATATTACAACTTATTACCTTGCGGAATCTCCTTCCTATCCTCTTTTCTTTTTTTTTTCACCCATTGTCTCTCGTTCTTTTAACAATATAGTTTCTTTTCCTCCTTGTTTGCTTCCTGTTTCCCTTTATTTTCTGGTCCTTTCTTTTAATTCCCTTTTCCCCTTTCTTATTCCTCTCCATTTCTCATTCCAATTATTAACTTTTTCTCCCTCCCTCTTTTGATTTTTCTTTTGAACTTCCTTTTCAGCTTTTTCCCTCTCCTTTTTTCCATTTTCTGAACCATTTTCCCTTTTATAATCACATCAGACCACACAATTTTAATTTTAATTCCTTTCTCCCCCTGCTTAAATAATTGTTGATCCCTTTGTTCTTCAAAGCTGGATTCTGTTAAACTCCTCCCCCTCTGGTTTACTTTGTTCTTCTACAAGCTGGGTCGCCATTTCTAATTTCTGTAATACATAATTACACATTCAAATCTAATTTTCATCATTTCCCTTATATCTTGCAAATCCGATCTCATTTCATCAAATAATTCCTCCATTGTATCTTCTCCTTTTTCCCTTTTCTTTCCTCTTCCCTAATTGATGTATTCAGTCCCAAAGTCCAGTATATTATTTCAGCCAGTGCCTTTTAAGTTTATTTTCAACAATCAATGTCCTTAAGTCTTTGTTCCAAATCTTCAAGTGGGCCCTTTCCCAACTGTTTCCCACAATCACCGGGTGGTTCTATGTCAATATTTTCAAGTATTCCCTTTGTAGTATTCTAATGTCACTTTCCAAGGTTTTTATTTTTTATAATGGAGTTACTTTTACTTTCTTTTAAGTTCCAAAGTCCAATTTCTTAGAAAGACCAAGCACTTTTTTTAAAAAAAAAAAAGGTCACTGAAGTTTTTCCTGTACCATCAGGTGGTGCTCTTGAGCCTTTTCCACAGTCCACTCCTTCCTAAACTTTAATTTAATATAGTACTTTTATTAAATTCGCTAATTTCAATCGTTAGCTATTATTTCTTTTCATTTCAACACACTCAATTTCAGCATTTAGTTATGCCCTTTCAGTGTCCATAATCCAATAGTTGTCCAGTGTAATTTCTAAACCTTTGTTGTGTTCAAATATTTTCCTTTAAATTTTCTCCTCCAAATTAATCCAATAATTCAAACCAATTTTATAAAGTCCAATTTTCTTCTCATTTTCTTTGGTTGCAGCTTCCACACGCTTTCCTCCAATATTGTCCTTTATTTTTAATACCGGGGTATCTCAAAATCCATGCATTTTGCCTGGTTCACACTTCGCTTGCTACTTCTCCTCTCCAGCACAGTCTTAGTTTCCCGGGCTGTTCTTTTTTCTTTGTGGTGGCCATTTTAGGACCACCGCTACAGCTTCCCTTTGGAAGGGGTTTTTCCTGTAATGGGGAAGTTGCGGCTCCCCTCAACCTCCAGGCGATTCCCCCTTTCTTCACCACCCCTCCAGGGTGGTTCTGGTCTCGATTGGGACCCTCCACCCAGTTAGCTCGAAGCAAAACCACGCACAAACGCGGATTCCGCTCTGTCTCCAACGACGAGCAAACCGGAAGGGGCCAAACTAAGATAGATTATTAAGTGGATAGATACCCTTCTGTAATATTGGAAATGACAAAGCAAGTCCATCTGTTTTATCAACAATGTGGTGGGTTTGACACTTCTCTGAAGAGGGTGCCCTTGTAGGAGTCTCTGATCTCCCTTGGTCATACACTGTACACAGTGTGGATTTCTTCCCTTTTCCCTTATCCAGAAGTTGAATTCTTCAAATCACTCTATTCTACTTCCACTTACCTTTCAGCCTTTCTGGCCACTGAGGAATTTGCAACCTTATTTTTCCCTTGTCTTTTGCTTCTTGATCATCAAAGTGTTAAGCACAGACTTAAACAATAATAATAAATAATAATACAGTGGAGACCTTAGTATTAAATATTAAGCTTAAAAATCTAAACTTTAATATTATAAAATAACGTAGTGCATTTTGCAACTTTTTATCAATGTCATCCTTTAGCATCAATTACACAAGTTAAGCAATCTTATTCGCTAACACCTTCGAACTTTTATTTAGCATTGATTAGAAACGTTTTTCTCATATGTAAAGATTTAATATATCTAGATCATCACAATGTTAACAGTTGCCAATTTCTATTGTATAAATAACCCCTGTAGTCAGTTACAATACAATAAAACAATTAACTTGGTAAAAAGTTTTAAGCTCAAAGATAAACCTAATCAGTTAAAGGAATGAGAAGAATGATACTCTCATTATTTTTCAGGGATGATGTTAATGATGACAGTGATGATTTACTATAATTAATTTAGTATTATCACCTAAATAGCGTTGCCATCAAATCAGTGACTCTTGAACTGAACTCTTGGTGACTTATCCAGACACGTTTACGTTTGATAGGTGGTTTTGCAACTTTGCAGTCAAACCTGTAGTCCTATTTACCTTTCTGTTTACCTTTCTGGGCTCAGGAACTGCTTCCTGCTTGTTAGTGTTGATTATTAATGAAAAGCCTATATTTGCTTCATATATTCTGCGAAAGAATTTGGTTTGGCATCAGAAAAGTACAATCATTGTTTTCTTTAGTATTCACCTAAGAAGAATTAAATTAAATTTATCCAAGATAGAAATAAAAGATAACAGGTTGAATTCCAGTTCAGTAGTTCTGTTTGTGCATCAAAACTTTTCTGTATCTATATATCATAGCCATACATTCCCTTCCAAATGCTATTCCTGAACGTTAGAATGTTCAAAAAGGCAATGGCATGTTGGATGGGATATTGCAGTGCAAGAGGGACATTGTTAGTCATAGGATGGATATTCAGCCAAATTGAAATCCCTTCCACTCAAACAGGTTTGGATCCAATCCAACATTCTTTTTGTGTGTAAATATTGGCCTGGACTTATCAGAGCATACAGTTGACAATTCTGTTTGCATGAGGGTTTTGTGTATGTGTCATTTCCAATGCCCCTTCAACCTATGATTGTATTTGAATGCCCTACTGTAGATCAGCTTTCGAATTTTTGACAGGTCATAAGATCTAAGCAAACTTCTGAATGCTCTGTGCAAAACTTTTTACAAAACTCGCTTTAACAAGGGTCTATATAAGTTGTTTTGCTTTGTGTTCATCTTTGTTTTCTTTTATTCTCATGTAACTGATTTGAATTATTTGAAAGACTTGAGGAGTGATATGAAATTAAACAAGATAAATTCCCACATCACTGCCTCCTATGTATTTAACCACATGATAAGGAATGAAGATGAAAATATACTGTGTTATCGTTTTTTGTGCTTTTTTGGCTCTACATTTGCATTTCTGTGTGTTTATGTATTTTGGTACATATATACATTCATAATTGATACTTTTCTGTCACTCAAGAATAGTAATAATTTTCATCATTGTTGCCTTTTGATTTTCTGAAATGTAGGCAATGTACTTTTTAATCTTGTAAAATTTTTGTTAATAAGTATT